TGTTCCATAATTTGCAGCAGGCTTAAAATATTATGGCCAGCTCTAAGATCTTACAGGAAAGTAACTTGCAATTATCCTGCACAACAGAGGCAGGATGAAATGAGGTGGTAGTGAAGAAGGGAGAAAGCAAATGGGTAGCATGAAACACCTGGAAGTGTAGGCTCTTGACATAATGTAGAATATTGGTTTTGATGAGTCAGGAAAGTCATTTTTGTAGAGACAGGGGAAAGTGTAAGCAGAGTTGGTCATGATAGAAATGGCGTATGTGCCAGGTCATGAAATCCCACACATACAGGGGCTGGGGAAGTGACTTCCATAATGTACTGTAGTTAGCTGGTTTGCCTGCATCGGCCTCATCTTGATGTTCATCATGAAGTGATGAACAGCTGGTGATGGCACTTATTAACTTCATGTTTGGAACCAAAAGTTTTGATTTGAAGCTGTCTTCAACTTTATCTGTTTTTATTCAGATTTAAAAGATCATTTTATTTATATGCTATTACCTAGGCAGTTGAGCAGTGACTGTAAGGGAAGGCTTATATTCAATCTCTCTCATGGTTTGTTGTTCTTCCTACCCAGGAAGTGACTAAAAGATTCTGGTGTAGGTTTGGTTGGATTTTTGGTTTTTCTACCTCCCCCTTCTCCCTGTAAGAGTCTGACACTGGATTTATGAATGTTTATACACTTTATATTGCAGAGAATTGATAATAACTGGGGTTTTTTAGATTGGAGGAGAGTGCTTCAAAAATAACAGTGTTTACAAATCGCCTGCTGTGTTCCAAGTTCTGCAGAAATGTTATTTGTATTTTGGAGACCAAGTTTGCCTGCAGAGTGGGAGGCAGTTTCATATGGTCAGGGTCAGCCCCTGGTGGGTAATTATAAGGCAAGGCGATGTATGAAAGGCAGCCCTCAGGTGAGCTAGTCTCATCTTCTTCAGTTCAATCAATGTATTGCCATCAGTTGAACTAGATAGAGTTTAGTACAAGAGTTTCAGCAGTGCTGGGAAATGTTACTTTCACAGTTAAGCCCCCTCGTTAAAGTAAACCCACTCTGTGCTTTCCATCAGAAGGTACTGGAGAACTAGACTTGAGTTTGTCTAGCCTGTACATGAGGTGAGAGGTGTGTGAGACTCTGCTGTTTCATACAACCAAGAAGTGGGCGCTTGGCAAGAGTGGAGAGACTTTACCTTCCTGATAATAGCTTAAGTATTACTAAATGTTGAGAGTTCACACAAATACCAGAGTGCTGTCTTTGTGTTTGAAGTTATTGACTACTGAAGGCTGCTTGACAACAGATTTAGCATTTTGAGTACTTTGTAAGCCCTTTGGTGTGTTGTATGTGCATTATCATAGGGAGCACTTAACATTTTCATTATCTGGCCCCTGTAAGTTGCTGATATTGATCTATTTTTAAAGATTCTTCCTGTCTCATTGAAACCAGAGGCTAAAACTGCAGAGGTGTCTTTCCATTTCAAGCACAGTTATGATGATCACAACATCACGTACGGTAGATTGCAAAGCTGGCTGTCTGGATTTGTAACTGCTGTTATTTTAGAGAGAAAACTGGGGAAAGATCTCAAAACTGGGTAGTCTGAAGTACCCATGTGAGTCTGTAGGCTCGCTTCCACATCCTTTCTTAAACAGCTTTATTCCTCCAGCAGTCATCAGTTTTGTGCCAAAGCAATGCCGTAGGCTGGACAATGTCATTCACACCCTACTCTATTTATAGGGTATTTCAACAACCCCTCCTGTAGCTCGTGTTACCTTATTTAAAAGAGCTTTCATGCAACGTTGTGTCCCATCATTTTCCACTGGCAGAAAAAGGAAGGAGTTGCCTTTCTCCTTGAAATGCAAGAGAGTACTTCTGCTTCTTTCTCCAGGCCATGGCTCTTGTCCCTTGGAATTAGTTCTGAGTCTGACAAAGGGAGGGCTGTGGTTGAGACACCTGCTGCTGGTGGTCACTTCTGCTTAGCCACTTTTATTGCCTTGGCTTCAGAAACAATGAGACATGGCTAGTGAAGGATAATAGGAAATAAGGAAAAAGTGTGTCTAGAAGGCACAACCCAAGGTAAAATCAAGTTAGAGGTGAGGATTAGAGTGGAAACATACTTCACCGATGTGGTGCCTCACCTTGATACATTGACTTGCTAAGCCCTGACAGCAGTCTCCTGTCTGGAAGCGTTAGGAATTCTGCTGTGCGGAAGTGGCCTGATCCAGATCACACATCAAAGTCAAGGCTTATAGTTTGGAGGTTGAGAAGGTTTTTTGATATAGGCCAGATTTAACTTCAAGAAACTTCAGCACAGAGATCATCAACATGAGAAGTATGTGTTAGAATAACATTTTCCATGTTCATTTTAAATGATTGTTGTTAGCCCTTCCTCTATGTTTTCCTTCCTTTGCTTTCCCCTTTCCCTTTCTCCTTCTGAACAACCCAGATGTCATTTTGATGTTATCTTTTTCTGTCATGCTGTTTGTGTGGTACAGTGTTTATTTTTTCAAAGCCAAAGGAGGACTTAATAACATTCAGAACAGCTTTGCTTTAAAAGCTCACTAGCTAGGGCTTGCCTCCTGGTTGTTGCTTTCAGTGACAGAAAAACATATATATCTGTGTGTGTGTTTATTGTGTTTCACTAACTTTCCTGGTGGGAGGCAGTGCTGATCAAGGGCTTGAAGTAAAGCTTTGCCTGCAACAGTGAATGCTCATTTTCTAGTTTTTATTTATAAATGGAACAAGTGATCCTCAACTAGGCAGACTGTCACTGCTTGGACCTTGGACATCAAAAGTCTGACATGTTTGTCAGTATTGGCCAAAAGCAGCAGGAGAGCACAGGCTCCAGACACGCTGTGAGCTCCTACTAGTTTTGTGAAAATTGGTATTTGGAAACAGGATGGAGTGCTCCTAGGAAGGAGATGTTGATTTATCTTACAAGATGCTATGTGAGGACAGGCTGGTGAGCATGTGCCTGGCTCTGGATCACTGCCTTGTTCCTGCGGAATATCCCCATCAGGCAAGCTGAGATCGACGTAGGGAATTGCAGGTCTTGTGGAAGGGAGCTGCTCAAGTGGCTGTGGTAGGGATACAACTGCTGTGGTGTGTTTTGCTGCTCACAAAACATCTTTTTGTTATGAAATATGCTTGTGGAATAAAGCTATGAACAGTGTTGTTTGCTCAGTTATTCAGAAATACATGCAGGCCTGCTTTAGAGTAATAAGATTAGGCTGAAATTTGTGGAGTTAAAAATACTAGAAAGTGGGTTCTTTCAAGTTGCTCTTTTTAAATTCCTTTCTTCAGATGCCCCAATTCATGTTATTAAAGTTTACTCTGCAAGCACAAAGCATGGAGACTTACTGAAATTTCTAATCTAACTGGGCATCTTAGGGAGCTGGGGTTTAGGGAGCTTAGGGTTCCACCAGAGATGGAAAAACTCATGATAAAACCACAGGAGACTGGCAGTGTTCAGCAAGGAAACAAAAAGAAGGGAATGGAAATGTGTGTGCTGTGCACATGCAGCTGTGGAGGCAGGTAGGGCGCTCTTCTCTGGTGGCTGTGCAGGCTGGATTCTGTCAGCTGCTTCCCTGTTCCTCAGCTTTGCATCTCTTCCCAGCTCCTGCCTCTCCCTTTGTCCTTCCTCTCCTTGTACCTGCTGCCTGCCTTAGTGGTTAATGTCACCTGCAGTTAATCTGCAGACCTCTGCTCTGTGAGAACTGAGGGATTAGAGGAAGAGCAAGTCCACCAGTGTTAGCTGTGATGCTGCAGGCTCCTGTGAAAGCTCAGCCGAATGCAGGAGGGCTCATGAAGAGCAGCCATTTATGATGGAGCTGTCAGATATGAACCTGGCGTCTGGAGCACACACTGCCTATAGCAGCAGAGAGTTATTGCCTCTCTGGATGGGACTGTTTCACCACCTTTGTCTCCCACTTTGATATAGGAAAGTCATGTTTAAAGTTGCTCAGGTTACCTGAGGGTACCTGAGAACCTGAGGCACAAGTCCTACTAACCGTAATATAGCAAAAATTTGGTCTAATAAGTAGTCTTAAGCTGAAGTTTGGGTGTTGTAAGGAGGATAAAACTGTAATGAATGATGATGTAGAATCAGAAGAAAAAAAAGCCAAGTTAATTGGCTTCAGGTAACAGTAAATAGATTGTACATTCTTTCCTGATAAAAATTCCACAGGTTTCTAACAACATCCCTGTTCCTCTGCAGTACTTGAGCATCAGCATCTCTCCCTCATTTGTTTTACAACATCACAAAATATGTTAAGTTGAGCTTGGAAAAAAACATGCTTATTCTGAAAGAAATGCTCACAGTTTTTGTTTTTTTCCCAGCACTAGCTGTTAAAGTGTAAATACAGCCAACCATCAACCCAAATTGATACTCAAAGGTAGACAAGTTCTCAATCTAACTGTTGTTTTTTCCATTATCTTTTTTAGGTGTAGTTACCATAACACATTAGTTCTGAAGAATGTTGATGTTTTAGTAGTTTTTAATCTGTATTATTAAATTAAATAAATTAAATTTTCACTTTTCCTTTCTTCAAGTAAAGCTGTCTTTTTGCTGTATTTAGGTGTAAATGTGGTTAAGCCTGCACTTCAGTGCTTGTTCTTTAAATGAAAGCATTCCTTCATCTGGGTAAAAACAAAATAAAACTTGGCTTGCTACAGAATCTCTGGTCTTGTGGCCTTATTTTTTTTGCAAGGCTCTGAGTGTCCTAACTGTGCTATGTACTTAGAAAAATAGAATTTAGGACCTTGTGAGGAGCAACTTTATTTCAGTGGAAAAAAAAAACCCAACTGAAAAAGCCTGCTAGCGGTCTGAGTTTCCTTACTGTCATTCTTAATGATGTCCTTTATGGTGCTCAGTAGAGCCATACGTTTTGGAACACAGCCTTTTTGGAGTCAGTGACATATTATTTCTACCTACATGCACTGGGTCCCATGGGAGTTGAATCAGCACTTTTATAATGGCTTTGAGATAACTGTTTCTTTTTTACCTTCAGGCTCACAGCTGGCAGCCCGGAATCAAGAACCCGTACCGCGGGGTGGTGGTATGGCCTGTTCCTGAGAACGTTGAAATTACTGTGACGCTCTTTAAGGTATGGGATTTTTAAAACAAAATCTTTCCTATTTCATAAACAGCGTAGAAAAATGCTGTTTGGAAACGTCACATCAGAATGACAAGGCCTAATCTTGCTGGGTTTAAGTCATTAACTGCACAACCTTATGTCACCAGCTTAAATCTGGGAGAGAGGGATGGTCTGTTCCCTGCCAAAGCTTACTTTTGTAGTTTAGTTAACGCACTGAAATATCCCATTGAGCTGATTATGGCAAGTCATTGGCATAAAATTTAGTACATGTGTAACTGTGCACGTAGTACATGTGTAGGGGCTTGGTATTGGGTTAGTCTGATTGGTTTTCTTTAAATACTGTCAGCCAGAAGTTGTGAAAACACAGTCATTTCTCTAGACCTCCTTGTTCAGTTGCAGTGCAGTGACCCTATTTCCTATGCTATTGACTAGGAAACAGAATCCAGCTCTTAATTTCAGAGTATTTAGTATGCCACACAAATGAGTGAATATGGAGTATTGGAGTAGTACAGAGAATTATAAGATTTTATGGGTGGTTTTTGTTTGGGTTTTTGTTTATAGGAACCGGATTTGTTCTAATTAAAAAAGAAGCTTATTGTGTGGCTGTGAAGCAGGAGGAGAAACTGATGGTTATGATAGAACTTATTTCCTGAATATCATTGGGCAAAGCCCTTTCTGCAGAAAGATAAACAATGCAGCTTTGCATGTGTGAGTGTAGGAGGTTTTCTGAGAAGCTGAAGATTTCTGTGATTTTCATTCCATTAGTTCGTTCTTGTTCTTTACTTTGGTGTCTCCAGCTACTCTCTGGTGGTTGTTATTTATAACTGCTCCCTTTACAGCTGAGGGCAACAGTAACATACTTTTTTTCCTAATTAGTAATATTTATAGCTTTTTCTTGGGGACTTCCCTGAGCCTCTTCTTGGAAGTGGCTTCTGATTGGCTTTAGAATGTGAATTTATTACTTGGCTCATTAAGCCTAAAAGGGGGGGTTCTCTCTTTTTTTTTTTTTTTTTTTTTTTTTTTTTTTTTTTTTTTCCTTTTTTCCTTTCCCCTTGGGATCACCAGTGAACAGAAACATCCCAGATTGGCAGTGATGCTAACTGTCATAAACTTGTGTTTCCTCTTAGCAGACACATAGTCTTCAACTGAAGTTCAGAAGTTCACTAGCAAAAATTGTTTGCCTTTGCGTATTTCAAGGGCCTCTGCTTAGATTAAGAACTTTAACACCATTATGTGACTATGCTGCCTGTTTGTATGATCTGAATATGGTTATGTAATGCAGTAAATGTTGCTTAATATTTTAAACATTTACAATGAAGCAGAAATGCATACAGTTCTTGATTGTGTATGTGATAACATGTTACGTGAAGAATGAGATATTAAGTTTCTTTTGGGTGCAGCTTCGTGGCCTTGGAGTAAAAGTGTCTCCCAGCCTTCTCCTGCCACCTCACGCTACCTTTTTATTCCTACCTGCACCACTTCAGGGTTGTGTTAAGTAGCACAGCACAACAATCTTATAGTCGTGCCACTGAGACCGAGGGCTAGGATCATATAGTGAGGTGAGAGAAGGGCCTCTGGAGCTGGTGCTTGGTATTACTACAAGCTTAATCTTACCCTGCAGGCAGATCTGTTCACTGGACTTTCTCTCCTCTCCCCAAAAAGGAGCCTCCCCATCACAAGGGCTGGTCTGGTAGGAGTGTGAATGACCATCCTGTTACTGTGCCTTCTGGCCATGGTACATACTGATCTCTGGGGGAGTGAGCACTGGGGTTTAGAATCAAAATATTGAGATCATGCAAAGAAGCATCATGTGGTCAGTCAGCTCTTAATGTAAATCTGTTCTAATTGATCCTCTGGCTCCTCCTATAGATGGCCATTACAAATGGCTCATTTTCTTTATGGTGTGGTACAGGTGTGCAGGTGTGGTACAGAACAGTGCTTTTTGAGCAAGCTGGGTAATGTACCACGAGTGCTGAATCTCCGTGAGACCAGCAGCCTGCCTGGATGAATGAGCTGTGAGTGATATGTGATTGCAGGCAGAATATGGTGTTGGCTCAGTGCTACAGCAGCACTTGAGCTGTAGAGTGGGGTATGTCCTAACACCCGGAGAGCTGTCATTTCTGTAGCTAGTATGTTCTGAGCAAAGATGGTCAAAAAGAACTAGCTATTTTTTGCACAGCTCATGCACTGGCTGGTCATCGCTAGAGTAGTGGGAAGGGAAGTGTGTAATAGCACCCTCCAGCAGCCTCTTTGGGAGCTGACTTACAAGTCAGGTATTTATGTTGTTCCCTCCTTTGAAAGGAGGGAGTTGGAAACACTGAAAGCAGTAAAGGTCACAAAAAGGCTGCTGCTCATCTTGCAGTTCTGCCAAAGTCCCTTTAGGAGCCATTGCTCTGCAAAGGAGAGTAACTGCTGAATGTCTGGCACTTTGCAGTGAGCGCACTTAGCATGGCCATGTTGTTTAACAAACAGTACTTGTCCTCTTTCATTACAACCCGAGAAGCTAAGGGAAGCTGCTGACTCCATGTCGACACTGGCAGAGCCCACTGATGGGAGCAGCTTGCTCTGACAGAGCTTTGTAGCAATCACAGATAACAAATGAGAGCAGCAGTGCTGTTTCAAATAGAAGTGCAGGAAAGGGAAAG